TAAGTTTTGGGCTTTAGGCCTCCAAATTTTAGAGATTGGGTCATTTACAACTTTAAAATAATTTACAGGGTTATAAGGAAAGTCTACAATTCCTAAGTTGTGATTTCACTTAAAAAGAAAAAAAAAATCACAATAGGGCCAGTGTGAGATGGATGGCTCAGCAGGTAAAGGCACTTGAGGTGCATGCCTGATGACCTCAGTTCAATCCCTGGGACTCACAGCGCAGGAAGAGAGTAACTTCCCAAGGCCATCCTCTGGTGTCTGCACACAATGCCCATCTCGGCATGCTCACAGTCGTATCCATTCGTATGCATTATGGTGACCTCACATGCACATGAATAAACTAAATTGAAAAAATTAAGTGCAGTATTTAAAAAGCAGTTTTGAACTTACGTATGTACGTACATGTAGACACACACACACACAGACTTCCAATGACTCCAACTGGCCTTGAACTCCTAGACTCAATCTTCCTGCTTCAGCCTCCCAAGCTGCTATGACACACTGCAATCTGTGTGCCGCCACCTTTGGTTCTGACAGAGTATTTTCAGCGGTTATTTCAATAAAGCCTATAGATGCTACTTGTTGTCTTTGGCCACCCCTCACTGCCTCCAGCTTTTTGAGACGGGGTTTCTTGTAGCCCGGGATGTTTCTGTACTATGTCGGCGAGAATCAGCTTGAGTTTCTGATCCTCTTGGCTCCATCTTTCCCAAGTCCTGGGTTTCCAGATGGGTAACGTACCACCACGTCCAGTTTGTGTGGTACTGAGGACAGAACCCGGGGCCTCATGCATGCAAGGCAAGCACTCTTGGACAACTGAGCTACGCCCTCAGTCATTGCTCCAGACTCTTGTCAATTATGAGTCTTTCCCTACTTCGCAGTAGTGCAGTGTGGAAGGATCACACGGATAACCAGGGACTCTGAAGAGGAATTTTCTCACACCTTCTCCTGATAGCCACACACAAATATTACACAGAATACACGTCAAGGGTAAAGAGGAAGGGGCCAGGATACTTAGCTGCGAGGAACTAAACAACGGGATCAGGGAATTCATTCCTCAGGAAGTCAAACTGGGCAGCCCCTTGCAGTACAAAGGACCTCCGTAAGTGGGAGTGGATCTGATTGCTCAAAAAAAAATTCCAGTCACTTGAGGTACAAGCCATAGTCACTCTACCCGTGAGCTACTATTTTTCACTGTTTGTTTCAATGCCATACAGCGCTGGCACACTGGCATTCAGAAGCTTCATTGTCGGCCAAATCCACCTCAGTTCCTTTGCCCCTGAAGTGAACACTGACCAAAACAAATCTTAGTTGTTTGTAAACTAACAGAAAATCAGGGGTGAGAGATCTAACAGTGAGATGATGGATTTCTTCATCTGAAATACAAATGTTGATTCCCTAATGGAAAAATTCATTCAACAGAACCTGGCTGTTCTAAATGGCTAAAAGCAAATAAATACCCGTAACATCTCTACCCCAATTCCTTCTTTAAAAATAAGGATTTAAAAGGCAGCGGAAGTGAGGCCATAAACATCTTCCCTTTCCTACCTGAAAGGTCACTCTGAGGAGATCACAGACACCAGAAAGGTGGAGGGCTCTCATGACTCAGAGCCACTGTGGTCAGGGGCCCTGGGCAGCTTGCTGGCTCTCCCTCCCCGGCATCAGAAGAGAAATAGAAGGCTTCTCTTATAAGGTGTTAACCATTTGGGCTGCAGGAGGGACAAATGGAAGTTTGACACCCAGGATGAATAACTAATCTTACCCCACAGGGAACTTTCATATGTTAAAGCAGCTGGTTGCTTTGTTCATTCACACTGTGCTAGAACACTCAGCAATACCACTGAGCTTGGGTCACAAAGAACTAGTTTTTGTTATTGCTGTTGTTTTCATACCTCTACATTGGTCTTATTTTCACAAGTAAGCTTCAGAGGAAGGAGGTTTGGGAAGACGCTCTTTAAAACCTCTCTGGGGGGTCCTGGCTCTGAAATATTAACAGGCTTGTGCATCTTCTCATCCTCTGGGCTTGAAGAGCTTACACTGACACCAAGTGGGTTGTCATGGCTGCTTTCTCCTTGTTTGGTCAATTTGTCTGCACTAAAAATTCATATTTAAAACTCCAGGAGAGACTCATTTATAGATATCTGGTATAGACACTCACATTACTCCCTTAAAGGTTTCAGTTCTAGAACGAGGTCCCAGCTAAATGCTCTTTCAGAAGGGAAAAAGATGGATGAAGGAAGTTCTCCTGACTGGGTGCCATAATGACTGGCTTAAAACGGGAGCAAAGGCATAAGGTTATGGTAAAAATTCAGAAGAGGCATCCCTGTGTGTGTCACTTGGCCACAGCTGGACTCTGAGGGCACAGTTAGACACAGACAGGAGAGGGGCCGGTGGGTGCCTGGCCCTCCCACAGAGGTTTCTCCCCAGTTCTCACAGGCAGCAGATGTAATAAACTAGGAATTGTTTGTAATGCAAATTCAAGTCACAAGGCTGCCCCTACCTTGAAACTCAAATACAAATGGTCATCCAGCTCCTGACACTACCTGAGGAAGTCTACCATTGCCGATGTCAGTGACACAAACAGTCCTGCTGAGGACAGGGGGAAGGAGGAAGAGAGCAGAAGTGTGGTTAGGGCGAAGAAGAGAAACTGCCTTCCGGTTAAAGTGTTTTTGATCTCAGAAACATTACAAACAGCTGTTAGGTATTAAAACCCAAAGATTGTAACTCACTTCAGTTGGACTCTAAAACTGACATAGCCTTGCGGTTAAAACTAAAAGGCTTCTGGAATTGTGCAAACTGCAAGGTCTCTCCATAAAACATACCTAACATGAATGCATTTTAACATGTAAGAGGATTCATCACAGGCATCAGAAAAACAGAGACCCGGTTCTCTCAACAGTCTACACCCAGTGACATTTCCTCAGCCCACAAATCTTTCCTAAGCCGTGAATGGCAGACTCGTGGACGTCAACATTTCAACATATACATAACAGCAAACACCTTTCATTCTACTGACATTTCAAAATGGTGCTGGGATATAGGATAGGTAGGCATGTACACGCACATTTGCAGGCACACACACACACACACACACACACTCTCTCTCTCTCTCTCTCTCTCTCTCTCTCACCCCAAAATGAGTACACAGGAGGAGTCAGGAGAAAAGGCTACAGAGACCTAAGACCGAATACTAGCTTAAAGGGGAAAGGATAATTTTCAATACTTGCAGGAGCTATGTATAAATACCAGGCAGTTTATTACATTAATTTCCCCAAATTTCTTGTCTGAAGAAAGAAGCAGCTGGTCTCTTCACGGACTAAACCACAATTTAGTATGAACTGTACTCATGGGTGAAACAGTTTTGGAAATGATTTTCTGTTACCAAAACTCTAACTTGATTGGAAAAGATTATGTATTGACCTGTTAGCCTTTCCACAGAACACTTCAACTGTTCCTTATCCAAAATGTGGCCCCCATTAAAAAACAAAACAAAACTGTACAAGTATTAAAAAAAATCAGATTTATTTCTCTTTCTGGCTCAGTAAGTCCTCTACAAGTTTTAAATCCTAGAAGCATTTTCGGTATGTGTGTTAGGAAATCTCTAAATAACAGACTGTGATTGCTTTATTAGGTCATCCACATTTTAGGTAGAATATTGCTCACACCACCTAGACATTAAATGTCATTAACTATTTGAAATGTCTTAAAATAATGGGAGGGAATATTCCTTGTAATGAACATCATAAAGATCTCCAAGATTTGATCCCCACAAGCTGCGTTATGAAAAGGAGAAAGATCGTGGTTCCCCACCTGAGCTTAAATATCCACCTGAAATTTGCAGAAAAATTATCACCGTTAAGTCTGCAATCACAAGGCCCACCGAACGTCACACACCTATCATTTTAACCATCAAAGGGCTCAGACCATGAAGATAGCCACAAACACTCCAGTTCACTACCAACCATTTCCTCTCTGCTTCTCTGGTGAACCTTAGAGCTCTCGCTTCTGTCACTAAGGCATCAGTGGCACCCCTTCCCCCGCCCCCCTAAGGGTTTCTCACAGACTTCTCAGCCTATAGAAGCATCCCACTGGGACTGGAGAGTCGCCCCCAACAGTGAGTGAGACTCATTCCTGTGTTTCTCCCTGGGCTTGAGGGCTGGAGGAGTAGGGCTGGGAACAGGTAACTACGACCACCTCAGAAGCTTCCCAAACAGCAGGGGGACGGTCAGGACATTCACCAGTGTGACCACGTGCACATCCTCTGCACGATGCCATTCAGCTAGGTTCTCAAGACAGAGGTGGGGTCTCTACCCCCAGCTGGACAGAAAGAACGCCAAGTAAAACGTGAAATTCTTCATAATATTGTGCACACCAGCACAGCACAGTCATGACACTGCATTTTTTACAACTTGAAGAAAACTGAGTCAAAAGATTAAAAATAGCAACAGTCTTCATTACATGATCCTCAGATAATTTTCCCAACTGACAATAAAGTGAGAATGGCTCATTTGTGCACTCCCAACCCCAAGACAATATAGCTAATATAATAAAAAGAGACATTTTCAAAAGCCAAAATAACATTCTGAATGTCTACATTCAACTGAGCCTCAGGAGTTTTGACTCTGACAGTTTTGGGTTTTGAAAGCTACCTGCTCCTTAAGTTCCTGAAAGGCTAAACCCCTTTTCCTCCCATCATCAGCACAGAAACACAGGACTTATAAAAATCATGGATTTGCTGGTTGGCTCCATTTGATTTCAGAGCTTGTGATCTTCTACTTATTCACATTAGCCCATCAGCCTAAAACTAAAAATCCAAACATGAGACATAAAGACAGCACTGTTCTCAGACCCGCCACTCCTTTAACACAGCTCTCGCTGAGTGATGACTAGTCGCATACAATGAGGCCATTGCCAATGTGTTGGAAGAAATAAGCATTCTGTTGAAACACAAATTAATTTGCACGTCTGAAAATAATTTTCAACATCAGCATGTTACTCACTGTCCTCGGAATGGGTGGAGAAAGGGATCCATTTGACATGTACGGGTCACTATTCATATTTGGCATCATTATGTAGCCAGAATAACTGGAGTAGGGGGGTCCCTTGTTGTATAGGCCTCCATCTGGATGCTTTCCTGGGAGAAGCCAAAGAACAATCAACTTTTCTTTTACATCGCACCATTTTTCATCAGAAGATCTTTTCCTTCTAAAACAAGCCAGATTTTACAAAAAAAAAAAAAAATACTTGTTCATAAACTACTGTAACTGGATTATTATGCTCTCTTTTAGATTGACAGTATTTATGCTCTTCAATGGCTCAACAGCAAACCAGATGTGCAAAAAAACATGTGGTTCAATTTACTTCCACTACTGACTGATGTTTTTACAAAAATAAGAGTTATTCATCTAACTTAATTTGTTATAATGCTAACAAACTGGACTGTGGAAGACAGACACACAAGGGAACACACACAAACTTAAAACCAAAATGTTAATAGGTGAGGCCATCTACTCCCAATACACATACACATAGATACATTTGAAGTGTCTCTCTTTTAGACAAATCCAAAAATTCCACCTGTGCTTCTGGAGCTCTATCAAGTGTTAGATTTTTACTGGGGGGGGGGGGACTGGATCTAGTGTATGGTTTAAAACCCAAATTTGTAGTGCATTAACCTTTGGAAGTCCTAATTTCATGGCTAAACTTACACCAGTCTACCAAAGAAACGTTCCTTTGCTTTTAATCTGCATAACTACTTGTTGCCAAGAAGGAAGACTGATATACAGCTCTCTCCCTGGCCCCTGGTCCACACACTCAATGCACAAACATTCCATTCTAGACAGGCCAATTGTTAAGTAATTGAAGGAGACCAGAAATGCCAACAGATTGACAAGTGAACCCTATGGGGACCTGGTTAAACTTGGAATGAGCAAAGGAAGTATGTGTGTGTGTGTGTGTGTGTGTGTGTGTGTGTGTGATTTTTTTTTAAGTGTTGACAAGAATCAGTGATGGGGGAAATGTCTACCATTTGATACACGTAGCTTCTAACATTTTTTTAAATATATTTTACAAGCTATGTTCAGTTTTACTGAACCCTGATCCATCTGCCCACACACTGTGTTCCTTCGCTGTACTGAGAACCTACACACAGCAATTTTGCACATGAAAAATCCTCTTCAGAATGAAATGAATAATAGTCTTCAGAAATACTCCTTCTCTAAGAATCTGGAAGCCAATGGAAAGCCAAAGGTCCAGACTCATGCCAGGACTGGTTCTAATGGGTGTGATAAACAATGAGAGAGAAGCTTTGAGTTTTGGGGCATTCTTTCCCATTCATTAAAATACTACATAGAAAGTCTTGCCTGTCTGGTTCCAGCCAACTCAACTCAAATGGAAGTATCAAAACAAACAAACAAAAGCAGATATTCAAACTGCAAGTGATCCTATGATTAAGAGGGGAGGAAGAATCTGGCTTCTTACCGTCATCAGGGTGTTCTCTGGCCTTGTCGTGGTAGGGCTCCTGAGAGGACGGTGCTTGTCTGACCACCTAATGGCAATGAATAGCCACCCCAAAAAGAAAGAAGATCACCTTAGAGTTTGTAACCTTACAGTGTCTGCTGACAATTCAAAGCAAGAGGTTTATGTAAAACTCAGTCTACCCATTAGGTTAAAATTAAGGACAAGCTAGGCCTGAGTACTGGAAAATCTCCTATTCAATATGTATTTTTGAGTGATTATCAGATACTCTGAATCAAAAGATAAGGGGGGGAGTGAATTTGGGAATAACGTGTTCCACTCTAACAACCCATCAATATTTCCTGGGTGCTCAGCTTCTGGGATGTGTTAATCCTTAGTTCACCTTGACAAGATCTGATTAAAACGCCACCAGAAACACCGTTTTGTAACTTAAATGAGATCTGGAAACATAAACAAGAGAACCACTTTGCCGGGGTCTTAAGTAAAACTGCCTGAGAGCAGTCCTCGCTGGGACTGCATTCACTTTTCTCTCAGGACTCACAGGCCGAGTGCTAGCAGGCTATCAGAGCAGAACTGGTCTGTGGTTAAAGGGAGGGAAAATTGAGAGTCGGGTAATAGACATCTAAAAGGTAGCCCGGTTGATATCAGTTTTGGTAAGCGCCATCAACCACGTGCAAATCCGTGGTATCACCCCGTCACCATCTTCTGTGAGTCTGCTTGCTCCACTTCCACCGCGGAAAGATGAACAGTTCAAACACCCTGGTCGTTTTCGGTTTCTAAAGCACTGCTTTTCTCCTCACACTAGAAAACTTTTTAAATGTGAGGTGGGTGGAAATGTGGGGAGCACTCCAGGAGAAGGTAAGGGGCTCTTCTACAGTCTGGGGAAAAGTCCCAAAGTTCAGAAGGCATGTGATTCCTTAGCCCCGTGCCCTCCGGGCGACCTCATCCTTCAGGCACACAGAAACGGTTTTTTTTTTTTGTTTGTTTGTTTTTGTTTTTGTTTTTTACCTGACTCTTGACTGCACCCTAGCCCCCTCTTCTACTTTTTGCTGGACTTTGGGCATAGAGAGCCAAGCCTTATATTCTAGGAATCAGACCCCCAGCCTTTCAAAGTGTGTACTCACCCCTGCCATCAGGAGAGAGAAAGTAACTTTGAGGTGTTCTTAAAAGTACTCCTTAAACCCAAAATGTCCCCGCCCCCGAAACCACCCTTTCTTTGGGGTGGGGGTTGGGGCAGAAGGCTGCCATTTAAGGAAAAGGGTATATACTGTTCAAGTTTGTCTGGAAGGAAAAACGTTGGGGACATCCTTTGGGTATCAGAACTTCTCTGCAGGGCCAGACCTGCCGCTAAGGTGTGGGCTTTGGGTGTGGACCCCCCATCCGACGCTCGCTCGCGCGCGGCCGGCTCTCTCGGCTGCCCCGCGCCCGCACCCACGTGTCTCTATTTACTCTACTCGGGTTACCAGCGCCGTCGCCTGCAGCTGGCCGGGAGATCTGATAAAGCGCGTCCCTCCTCCCTAGCCGCGGCCCGGGCTTCCGCCGAGGGCTCGCCTTTCTTCTGCAGAGATCCAAGGCCTGATCCCAAGCCAGCCCAGCCCCAAACAAACGCCCTTCTTTCCACTTGAAGTGCCCGGGGTTGCGGGCGGAAGGACGGCGGTGCCTGTGCCGTTGGGCGGCTCGGCTCGCCTACGGCTCCCCGCAGCAGCCTCGCCCGCGGTGGGGAGCCGGCCCCGCAACGCCCCCGCGGTCGGGGCTAGCGCCCGGCTCCTCGGCGGTTGGGACGGCCCCTCCCGGCAGGCCCACGCCCGCCTCTCCTTCCCCCCGCCTGGGGCTTAGCTCCTCGGAGCCCTCGGGGGTTGGATGCACTTGCGTACGCTGTGCCGAGAGGGCTAGCGGATGCACTTTGTTCTCCACCCCGGGAAGGGCGCCGCGGTTGGGTTTAGACTTCCCTGCTTTAGTGCCTGGAGCCCCTCAGACCCGCCGAGACGTTGGGAGGACGAAACGGGTCGGGGAAAGGCCAGCGTTTCCTGCCCATTCGCCGCCGTTCAGCCACAGGGCCACTTGGACTAAACCTCCCCGGCCGCCGCTCACACACGTGCGCACCGTGGACCAGGGGCCGTTATTCCCCTCCCAGGCCGCGAGGGACCGGGGCGCAGCGGCCACGGCGGCCCCGCGCTGCGCCGGCTCCCTTCTCCGCGTCCCCGTCCCCGGGGCCCGCCACGCCTCTCCGGACGGCACCCCGCTCACCTCGTGCCCGTTGCTGGCCGGGATGATTTCGGACTCGTTGACCAAGGATGACTTGATGTCGGCCAAGTCGCCCTCTTCTTCGGGGTGACTGATCTCGGCGAAAATCTTCTCCTTCTGGGGATCGCCCTCGTCCTTGAAGGGGATCATCTCGTCGGTGGCGCAGAGTTCCGGGTCGCCCCCGCCGCCTCCTCCGGAGAGTTGGGGCATCCCGGCGGCTCTGTAATCTCCGCTCCGCGGCGGGAGCCCTCGGCGGCGGCAGGGAAAGGGGAGGGGGGGTGTCGATGGGAGGTGGTGGTGGTGGTGGGGGTCGTGAGAGTCGGAGGACTGCGTGCGGGAGGACCGCGGATGGAAGCGGGGTGGGCGGGCGAGGGGCCCAAGGCCGGAGCAGCCGCGGGAGCCGCCGCGATCGCCGTGCTCTCCTCCCTCCTCACTCAGATGGATGCCGGCGCCCGGCCCCGGGGCGAAGGGCACCAGACTGCGAGGGCGGCGGCCGCCGGCGCCTCCTCTGCGAGCGTCTGCGCCGCTCCGCGTGCCCCGGGCTAGGCTGCCAGGGCTGGGTGATCGCCCCACGCCGCCCTTGGTGCCCGGGCCTGTGCGCCGAGGACACCGTTTCTGGAGAGGGCACGACTTTCCAAAGTGCAAAGGAGAATCCCGTGGCGCGTCACCGTGCAAAACCTCTCCACGGTGGAGTCCTCGGGTGCCGATTTCGGTGTTGGTTTGCTTTTGGAGAAGGGGTGGGGGTTTGCGCCAAAAGGCTCCGTTTGCCCCAGCGGAGGTGCGAGGAGAAATCAGAAAACACCGAAAAGTCCACTTCCTGAAGGGTAAACAATAAAGAGCCTCCCGGGCTGCAGTGGTCCGAGTCCGAGCGTCTTTCCTTCCCTTTCGCTTCGGTTTTCCTTCGGGAGGAGCATTTAATCTGCTGAGGGGGGCGGGGGGAGGAGGGAAGAAAAAGAGAAGTTTGCCAAGAATAAAGTTTGTGCTGGTGAGCGCTGGGAATCGGCAGTGGCTGGCGCGGCGGAGTCTTGGGGGGTCACAGCAGGAGCCTCGGGCCCAAATGGTCCAGCCCGCAGCTGGGGCCGATACACACTCACACACGCGCGCGCGCACACACACACACACACACACACTCGAGCCCGATCCCTCTTTGTTCCCGGCTCGAGTTTCTGCCTGGCTCGCTGGCGCAGTTACTCGCCTCTCTCCCCGCCTCCCCTCTGTCAAAGCGAAGAGCTGCCGGTGGCCCCTGGGCTCCTCCGCGCGGACCGGAGGGGAACCCCGGGAGCGCGGCCGCCTGCAAGGCTCCGGGCGGGTCCGGATGCCAGGGCCCCACGAGAGCGCGGCCGGGTCCGTCCGGTGCGCGCTGCCCCGCAGGTGAGCGGCTGCGCCTTCCCACCGCCTCTCCGCTCCGCGCCGGGCCGGCGCTGCAAAGCTATTCACTCGCGTCGCTTCTCCTCCCCCGCCCCTCCCCCGCCTCCTGCTCTCCTTGGCTGCCGGCTGGAGGGGTGGGGAGAAGGCAGTCAGCTAGGAGCAGGAGGAGGAGGAGGAGATCCAGGTTCTCCCCCAGCCCTTGCTCATTCCCAGCGCCTAGAGGACGAGTCAGAGTTTGGGGGGCACCGTGTGTGTGTGTGTGTGTGTGTGTGTGTGTGTGTGTGTGTGTGTGTGTGTGTGTGTGCGCGCGCGCGCGCTCATGCCTGAAGGGGAAAAAATTGTTAAAAACATACAACCTAGGGAAGGACCAGGTGCTGCTTGGAACCCAGCCCAAGGCACGCTGTGGCCGACGTGAGGTGGCCGAGAAAGGCGGCCCGGATGGCTTGACTTCGTCATCCGAGCATCTCTTCTCTTGCCTCCACTCACTTCTTGTCCTTTGCCAGTCTCCCTTCAACCTCCTTTCCGCCTCCCACTCCAGCTCCCTCACTCCGGCAAGGGGAGGGAGATGAAAGAGAAAGCCGCCGGCGCTGTGGTCGGCACCACAGTGATAGATGCTCTGACAGAGGGAAGGAGGCGAGAATTAGGGACTAGGAGAAGGAAAAGGAGAAAACGTAGCGCATTGCTCACCTAACCCAGGGGAAGACACACAGCAAGCCCGAGGAAAAGAGTTGTGGCTCTTTTCACACGCTCTTCGGAGACAAGGGTGCACACGCTAGCGAAAATCAAGTCTCCGGGGCTTACGGAGGGGAGACGGGGAAGACCAGGAAGAAGGGAGTGAATAAAGACAGCCTTAATTGTCGCTTTCAAAACACTATCGCCTTCCTTGGGTCCTCACCATGGAATGAACATGGGTTCACGACTCAGAATGTAGAGACCTTGTAGAAAATGAAAATACATCCCCAAGGAGGGAAAAGAAGGACCTGGAAGAAGGAGGCAGGACTGGGCAGGGGCTGACATCCCGGACACTCCGCCGAAAGGGGCCCTTGAAGACGCAAACCCGAATCCAACCTCAAAAATCCCCCAGTTCCCACTGTCTCTTTGATTCGTTTTGCAAAAGGACAGAACTTTTAAGGGCGATGCTTTGGGAAAGTTACTGTGTAAGGGAGGCTTGAGTTTGGAAACACGTTACACTCTGTCCCTTAACTCTCAACCCCTCCCCTCGAGTCAAATATTCAGGCGAAATTATTACACCAATGCGGCAGCCATCTGTAGAGCCTGGGAGCAAAAACAGGAGACAGGAAGAATTGTATCTCCATCTTCCTTAAGCTGAAAATAAAAGGCCACAGAATCGTGTGTTAGTGGCACTCCGCAAGGACGCTCGGGCAAAGACCTCGCCTTTGAAGGTGAGACTGGGCTAGTGGACACAGTAGACTTCAGCAGCTGTTTAAGCAAACGTTCCAAACTTTGCTCACCGCCTGTTTGGGAGGTGGCTAGGAAGCATTTTTCAAGGCTATCAGTTCAGTTGGTCCCATAGGGCGTGGTTGGTCACGTGCAATTTGATAGATTCAGGTACAATTAAGGAGCTGGTGAAAGAAGTCAGAATAACGAAAACTTTTCTTTTTTTAAATTCAAACAATCGTCAAAGCTATAATTTACAAAAGCCTAAACATGACATTTGACTTCAGGGCGGCAGGGGGAAGCGTAGAAGGGTTGCTAATAAATCCATTTTCATAGCGATGCCGTGCAGCCTCCGGTGCTGTCGGTGGGGCAGGCGAGGAGAGAGGGACGTAGCTTCAGACGTTCAAGCGCCCGCTGACATAAATTTAACAGAGCCAGAATTCCTCCTCCGACTGCGCCAATTTGACTGAGCAAGAGAACCCTGGAAGATGCAGTTTCATCAAAGCAGCCGGAGTAGACGGGTCCTTTTCATCAAACCCAGAAGGGGGAGGGGGCAAGAAGAATAGCCAGAGGGTATTTTTGGAAAGCCGAGAGGAGATTAAATGACGACTCTACTTCTTCCCCCGTTTAAGTGTTGCAACTAATTCGAATTCCCATTTTCTCCTTCGCGTTAATTATCTGGACTCCGTGAGTCATACGGAGCTCAGCTCCAGGTGTCCCAGGGATTAGAAGCTCGAAAAGATGGAGGTTTTTGGAGCAACACCTAGTGAGAATGGTTTGCTGCAAGGGCTGGGATAGGTGGCTGCGTTTGGTAGCTCGCTGCAACCCTCTTTGGAAACATTGGTTCCAACGAAATCACCTAACGGCCACGCTTGGCGGTGAGTGGTCTCCGCAGTGTGCGGTCTTTCAGCAGCGTTGTGGACCTTAAATGGGGCTACCCTTAAAACGGTGCGCCCACATGTTTTAAAGCTTTGTCGGTAAAGGGGGGTGGGGGCTGGCATCTCCCTGTGAAGTCTCTCTCAGGCGAGAAAAGCAAGGAGACACGGGAGGAGCGAAGTAACCCCAGGAAGTGGTGTCTCTGGACTTCGCCTTCCTGGCAAAAGCATTCCAGCCGCCGGGCAGTCTCTCCTAATTCCTGTGGGGTTGTTATTAGCATAAGCAGCAGCTTCTTTGCTCCTTGGGGTTGGGCTAGTGGGATCCAAGGTCTGGGATGCGGTGGGTGCGGCGCGCAGGAGCAGCCCTGCCGCCCCCTTTCCTCGGAGGTAGGGGCAGGTTGTTCGTGTGAACTCCAGCGAACCGCTCGAGGTTGGGCCGGAGTAGGCTTACTCCTTCAGGATGTGGGTTTCAGGGGGGGCGTTTTGATGTGATTTAGTTCCGACCGTGAAACAATTGCTAGGGGCTGGCTGCGTTGCTGTTGGTTTTTCTCCTCTCGGTGGCTTCTGGATTTAGTTTTGGGAGCGAACTTGTTTTATATATCAACACTTCCTTTTGCACGAGGCGCTGTCCTCTTTGCCCGTGCTGTGCCTCTGGGTGGGGGTGGGGGGATTGCGGGGAGGGGAGCCGTAGAGGGGGGCGAGGAGCCCAACCCCAGCCGGAACCCAGGCTGTGGGGAGCAGAGCTGGCCCCACAGCCCCGGGGTGAGCAGAGCCCAGTTGGCCGCGCGGGTGGGATGGGGGCGGGGGAGGCGGGGCAGGGAACGGGGGGGGGATGACCCACACAAGGAGACCCTCCCCCACTTGGCCAAGTGGAGTCCGCTGCAAGCGGTCCAGGGAGTCCTTAATTACAGGGATGAGAAGCGCAGCCCCCCACCCCCGCGCAGCCCTCCCCACCCCCAGGTCCTAACCCTGGCCCAGGCCCCCAGGTCTTCCTTTTGTGTGGCCTAGACTCCCTGCCAGCTGCGACCTAGGTGGGATCCCAAAGGAAGGAGGTGGCGGGGCCTACGGAAGAGGGTGCTCAGTAAGACAGCAGAGAAAGGGCTAGAAAATAAACGAATTCATGCGATTCCAGGGGCGGAACCGAGACCCCGGTTCCCCACCCCAGCTTCGGCAGGAGGCTAGGTCTGTGGGCACCTTCCGTTTAACCGACGTCGGGGAGAAGGGGGGTGGGGACGAGGGAAGTGGCAGTTTGTGTCCCAGGGGCTCTTCCGCCTTAAGACAAACAAACCCAAAGCCCCTTCCCTACAGGGTCAGGGAACTCGTGGGACCGTGAAAAAAACCTCCTTCTCCTCCCCGGCGCCCGCAGACGCCCGGTTTCCGCGCGGCCGGCGCCCGTTGGCGTCTGCAGCTCGGCGCGGTCTCCCGGGCGGGCGATCCGAGCGCGGGATCGGCGGCCGCGGTCGGTCTCGGGAGCCGGCCCTCGCGGGGATGGAGCAAGCACCGTCCACTCCGCTCCGTGGGACGTCAGCGGACGGGAGGGTGGCTGAGGACGGACGGTGGAGGGGACGAGCGGGGTCGGGGGGGGGGCGCAGAGGTTCGTCTCTGCACCGAGGAGCCCGCGTGACATGGGGACGGCGATGGGGGTTGGGGGCGCCACGCATGGACTTCGGCTCTGCGACGCACGTGCCGGGCCGTGGAACCGCTAGTTTTAGGGGGCGCGGACATCACATTCCTTCCCTCCCCCCTCTCAAAACTTTTTCTCCTGCGCCTTCATGTGGCGTGGGCAACTGATTTCTGGAAAACACGCCCCCCCGCCCCCGGCCCCTCTCCGCCGACCCTCCAGCCCCCTCCGGCCTCCCCGGAGCCGGGATGCTCAGAGAAGGGCCGCCCGCGCCCGCCGGTCTCGCCTTATATCCGCGGAGGGCGGCGCCTGCGCAGGGCCCGGCGCGGCGGCGCGGCCTTTGAAGTCGCGGCGGCTGCGGCTTTCATCCTTTCTTTTTTCCCTCTCAGGCCCCTTTGTGTGACTAAATTTGGCAAGAATATGGATCCCAGCCAGTCTTTCCACGTGTGCTCCCAGCTCCCAGCTGAGAAGGCCAAGGGTTCTCTTCCGGGTAAGGAGACAGGGAGAAAGATCAAAGAGTTTGGGGAGCTGGATCTGAAATGTGAATTGAAAATAAAAATCAAGCCTGGACACATTCCAGTTTCTAAAGCAAAACCAACCCTCCGCAGAGGCCGTCTCACTACGGCGCTCTTTTCTCTCAGCTCCGTTCGTCCACCCCCCACCCCACCCCCCTCTTTTTTTTTTTTTATCGAAATCATTTTTGAGCACATGGGATAAAAAAATAAAGACAACATAGGGAAGCACTTAGATTCTCCAGATTTTGTTTTGCAGTAATTTTATTAGGGAAAATATCTTGTTCATAATTACCGTTATGTGAGGCCGAATTTCTTCAGCCATAAATATTGTCTCCTTCCCAGCACGCTTCACACTTTCTTCTGCGCTGACACAACACGTGTGGCCGTGCTGTTTGTGCATCCTGCTTTTT